ATAATTAGAAAATAGTATTTCCGCCTCGTTTTATTTCCACATTAGTCTTCTAGACACACTGTACTGACCACTGGCTTTTGAGTCAAGTAGTGTCATAAAGTTCTGGTGATAGCGACCCTTGTTACTTCGAAAATTGGCAGCCTTTTGGTTAGCTCTCCCTACTTTTTGGGGGACTCGCTATTTTCGGGATTTATTAGAAGCCACAAAGTTTTGACGAGTTAGTTTCAGGGGTGGTTACTTTCGGGAGGTAGTTACTATCAGAACTTTACAGTTAATGCAAATTAACGCCTACATCGTATTGGTCTCTTCCCAAAGTAACATGTGTCTCAAGGAAACATGGACCCCCATACTCTTAATTAAAACAATTCATTGACTTCACTTACGCTTCGCGCTTGTCTCTTCAGCAGCTTGTGTCCATGTCAATACTTTATCCTCGACCTTGTCCATTTCTTTTATGTAACCATCACTCCCTTCTATAGAATTGAACAAAGTTTCATTAGGCCGGAAATTGATGATTTGCTCAGTTCTGATTTGGTAAAAAAAAGTATCAAGAATTATTTTCAAGCTTTCAAAAGGATATAATCCACATGCTTGCTTCTCATGCTTCCAAATGTAGCTAAGTCTCCCCGGTTTTGTACAAATTAATGCTCCTACCATATTAGATAATCTGGATTGAGCTTATTTCTAGATAACCTCTATGCTTAACAAAGGCACACAAGGCCCGCCCTAACAGTTATCAAAATGTATTGATCATACCTTTTCTTTACCATTTTTGAGATTTTTTGTTTCAGTCAATATTGCTCTAGGAAATTCTCACCTTGTAAGTCTTCAATTTTCTCCTTATTTAGTGGAGTTTCTCCCCCACAATTTGTGTCTGTTGTTTTCCACATCACTCAGCGCTGAAAAAAGGAAAAACAAACCAACACTTGCAATGCTAAGACTATATGCAATCTACAGTACAATACAGCTGTCAAAAACTGCTATAATTGAAAATCACTGTGTAACTACTCAACTGTTGTGTATGAAAGTGAATGTGTGACAGAGTGTAATACACTTAGTTTTAGTTTGACTGGAGCTGTCAGAGGAGAGCATTGATGCTGCTGTAGTGACAATGAGTGCTTGTTTTGTATGGTGACTGTGTGACAGATAAAACGGTGTATGTATTAGTGATTCAAA